ATAAGTTTCAAAAAGAAAGAAACCCAAAACCGAAGTGAATCAAAGTTGAGTTGAACTAAACTGAAACAAAACAAAGCAACAAGATGACAACTTATTCAAGGAACAAAAAGAGGTTCCTTTCTTCTTCAAAAATTCTACTGGTTTATTTGTTCAATATTTGTTTTCACCTAGTTTAACCTTTAGGATTCAAGTTCGGTTGACATAAATGGTAATAAATAAAAATTTTCGGTTTTAATTTCAATTCCTATTTCATACCCATTAATGTCTGGAAAAACGTAGTGCTGGAAAAAAAAAAAAAGATAAGAAGGAACTGAACTGAACTATGCCAGACAAAACTAAACTGAACTTGTACACCTTTGTTTGACTGATTTCTAGACAGCTATATTCTTCAATTTTTTTGCTGTCTGGACCAGTAGAAATGATGTTCTAAAATTAAAAATTTTATCTTTTGATAAATAACGAATTCAATTTTTTTTTAAATTTTACAGATTTTCAAGAACATGAAAAAATATGGGGAAAATGAAGACGAAATACACCAAGCTTTGTCTTGTATCCTCATAATTAAGACTTGAGACATTATATGAGCACAATAAAGATATGTTTGTGGATTTTAGAAGACTACTTTTTTTTGCTATTTTCATCCTTTTTTTTTTCATTTGCTGTGTCTTATGCTATTAATAGAAATTTTTTGGGTCCATATTAAGCACAGAAAGCATTGTACTTTAGATGAACTCGGTCCTCTCCCCTCCTCCTCCTCCTTCTTTTCCCCTTCCACTCTTTCTCCTTCTCTAATTCAAATAAAAAAAAAGCGCAAATTTCTTGACGCTTATGCAGTCAACAAAAAAAAAAGTAGAAACTTTAAGAGGATTAATTTTTGTGAAAAAAAAGAAATATTCGCTCACTGTCAAAAAAAAAAAAAATAAAAATAAAAATAAAAATAAAAAATAAAAAGAAAAATAAAAATAAGAAAAAGAAAAAAAATCAGCTAATATTAAACCATTTTACAGCTAATAAAGGAATATTAGCACTTTTTTTCCACCTTAGTCTGCTTAAGATTTTTTATGCTGTATTCTCCGTATAGAATAACTGCTTTTTTGGAAGCCTGGAAATAAAAGATAGGAAATAGATGAGTAAAGAAACATGTATTTTTTTATGAAGATGTCTACAGCAAACAACTTGATTTGATAACTAACAGTTTATACTCTTTCCTCCTTGTCCTTTTTCGTTTTTCATCTCATCATAATTTCAGAACGGATCTCACAGCAATAGGGTACGATTGCTACCATTTTTCTTCAAAAGGTCTTTCAATGTTCCACACAGCGATATGGAACTTAATATTAACGCAAGACAGCCTACGATCACATCAGTTTCGGCCACATTATCAACCGCCACGATGTGCTGATCCATTGTGTCCATTTATACGAACAAAAAACAACAGTGCATTATGTAACTGGAATTTCCCAAAGGTTTTATCTTTGGTTCTTCACCAAAAATTTTTCCTCTGATTGTATAGTTAGCCCTTTTTTGTTTCCTTTCGGTTTTGGCAACCAAAAACACGCGCGTTTTATGTCTGAAAACAAAAAAAAAAAAA